TTTTTGGCAAAAAGATTATATTTAGATATTAGATTAAAATGTGTATGGTTCGGTTAAGAAATATATTTTTAACATTAATACAAGTTGGATTTTAAGATAATTTTCTATTCCTTAATAAAAAAAAATGAATTGTCAGTTTTTAAAAATATTTTTTGTATCTTTGAACGATAAATTAGCAATTAAAGATGAAAATGTTTAAGTTTAAATTGTTATTTTTATGAAAGTTAAATCTTGTATCACTGCGTGAGAATGAGATTGTATGCCAGTCAAGATCAATTCGGATAGATCCAATGCGACTGGCAGGCGTTGAGTCTCCTCGCAGACTCCTCATGAAATGTTATCTCACTCAATCTCATTCGCACACAGCGGTGCTCTACGTACACGAGAAATCGCACGAACGTTCATCAAATTCTAATAAATAAACTAATGCTAATATAGTAAAGAAACAGTAAGAGAGCAATTATTATCAGACGAGACAACAAAAATATGAATGAAAATTACTTATAGTTTACAAATTTAAAATTAGCTCAGGAAAAAAAGTGATTGCACAGTGACACATTTTGAACGATAATGACTTTTTAGTGGCTTGTCAAAAAAAGTAATATATAAAAGTGATTTAAATGACTGAATAGTAGCGCTGTCGGAGTGAGAGTGGCCTTGGAAACACGAGCGACACTGCCCTTGACAGAGGATTACGCCGATCGTCGCGACTTTGAGATAAAACGATTGTCTTCGGTATAAGCCTTTTCTTATCGTCCTCCTCTCGCGAATACCTACGTAAGAAGTTGAGCGTAAACGTATGTATAGGTACATGCAAGAACGTACAGCACGCCGTAATACGAGCGAATCGAATAAATGTGCATAGTACGTGCATGTACGTTGCCGTGGCCTTCGTATCAGCTGTCTGATGGCGTCACTCAATGAGAGGCGTGCTGATCGCCGTAAACAAATACACCAGACTAACACGAACTGAATTCTTTACATTATCTAGCTTTAGTTATATTACGTCATACAACATATGGTATATATATATATATATATATATATATATATATATATATATATTACTTACCTGTTATTATTTTATTTTCAATTTTACCTCGTATTTTATTGCTATTATTAATACTTATTTAACAAGTTGACTACAATATGTTATTTTCCGTGTTATTCCACATCTAATGTAGTAAGCGATTGTCGATTGAGCACGTCGTATGATAACGCCGTCTATACCATATGTATATTCGTTCTTTTCATATTTTTTTAATTATTCTTGATTGCATGCGTTTCTATAGATTGTTTTAATTTGCAACTGTATTATGTCACTATATCACTAACGAATCCATAGAGGGCGCCATGACTCTCTCCTTGAAGTCTCATTTTTTAAAAAATATAGCAAAATATTATAAGTATTATTAATATTTCTGAAATGTGCTTAATAACAATTTCGATATTTCAAAAGTATTTTTTAATTTAAGGCACTCTTAACTACAAAAAATAAAATGTTTTATAAGTTTTATATATTTAAACAATACTTTTTTAATATAATAATTAATAATTTAATATACCAGAAGGTTTGCGGATTATCGCCGTGTCTTTCTTCATTATTAATGCCTTCATTATTAAAGGCATTAATAATGAAGAAAGACACGGCGATAACCCGCAAACCTTCTGGTATAATTGAAGAAAATACCCGTGAAGCCTTAAAAGCGTAATAATTAAATATATTCTATGTTTATATTTGATCTTAAAAAATGTTTTTCTTGCAATGCCAATGGCAAATTCCCCTCTTGAAAAATTTCTGGATCCGTCAATGCAATAACATCCGAAAAATGTATTTAAATTTGCATTATAATATAGGTATTTGAAAAAGATGCGTAAAATTCTAATTATTTTATATATATATATATATATAGCGAGAATGTTTTGTGTGAAAAACAACAGAATACAATTACATATTCGATAGAGAGAGAAATCCGTCAAATGTGTTAAAACTCAGTTTCTAAAAAGATGGAGTATTTTTCTGTATCATTTTTTTGTTCCGCAAAAATTGCAATTTCATCGTACGACTCGACGATACGAAAAGTGAGACTTGTATTTTTAACACACTTGAATCATATATATATAACGTTGGTTGTTTGTGCAAGCATCTATTATTATATATAGCATGATTATAACTCTATGGAAAACAATTAAGATGTTATTCTTTAAATCTTTTGGAGAGAATCTCACTTAAAAAGACTATAAATTGAGCCATTTTTGAAAAAAAGTGAAAATTTCCCACTCTTTTTAAAGTGCAAATATTTTCACTCTTTTTCAAAAACTGACTCAATTTTCAGTTTTTTTGGAATGAAATTTCATTCATTTGACATAGATTGCATCATTCTTTTATGAAAGAAAAAATATCGAAATATATTTAAGTATCGTTTGTTTGCTTTACAGTGTTGGAATATCATCAATATCCCATTATCAATAGCCATCAATATACCTGTTACACGTTCAAAAAACATCTTTTCTTACAGAAATCTTTTCTTACAGATACCTGATGAATGCCTTCTGATATGCAATATCATTCTTTTGACATTGATATAGTAACGACGCAGCATACCAGAGTAAAGTTTCGCACCCCGATGATCAAGAGAAAGCGTAGTCGTCACTGACATGAGAACTTCGTGAATTGTCAACTTCTGATTTTAGTGTAACTTTGTATACTTGCAACTTACATAAATAGATGAATTTAGAAAATAGCAGTAGAGACAAATAAACATACGAGATGAAATCACCTTCAATATGTAAAGCATTTTTCAATTTTTTTCGTTATATCGTATTTCAAAAACTATTTAAGATATCAAAAATGTCTAATACAAAAATTTTATATCAAAATAATCTCTATCTGCGTCAATAATATAAAAAAATAACTTTTTTAAAAATTTATCCTTTCAAAATTATTAGAAAAAAAAATATTATTGACGTAGATAAACAAGTTTATTACGAAACTTTTTTTCATACAGAACATTTTTTGATATCTCTGCTTTGCATATAAATAAAGGGTAATTCCACCCCTTAGAATCGTTTATTTGCCACTTTTTAAATTCATCTATAAGCTATAAGTATACAACTTCATTAAAATCAGAACTTGACACTTTGCGAGGTTCCCTTATGACTCTTGTGAGTTGCACGAAGAAGTAAACACATCGTTACTCTGTACTGAAATATTCTTATTTTCGTAAGATATGTGCGAAAAACATGACGAATTTACAACGGCACTTAAGATTTACGACGGCGAGAGAAATCATCGATATATTAACCGATACCTACATTTTGGAGCAGATACAGAAAAGTTCAATTATTCTTCTTAACGACCACTTAAAAGCCACTTTAACGATATTTTATCATTTTAACAATATCTCCTCAATAGGAGCGACGTCAATGTACGAAGCACCTACAATGACGACACTGACGCACGGTCGGTTTCGGAATGTCTAGTTTGTCTCCGACGAACAGCCGATAATGAATAACGACGCATCGGTCGCAAAAGAGAAGACGCATTACTCGTCGTTGTTAACGGAGTCGCTATCGCGAGCGCATTCCAGAGACCCGGACGCAACTTTCACGGAATCCGCTATCGCGTTATAAAGATCCGGGGGCGACTCTTCCGCGAGATTCGTCTCACCTCTTTGTCGCAGCGCTGGCCACATCGCCGGGTACTACCGCAACGGCGACGGCGGAGGTGTCGCCGGCGGCAGTATCGTCATTCTGCGTTGTTGGCTTCTTGAGAAAGAATCGCGTGAAGACCATCCCGTCGCGTACAGCATATGGACGTGCAACCGGAGCACTACTTCACCGCGAACGGCAATGTGGCCGATGAGAAACGAGTGTCGTCGTCACGTCACGCTATCAACCACCGATCGTGACCGATCGTTTCGGATCCACGAGCGACACGCACGCACGCACGCACGCACGCACGAAATGTATCCCACTTACTGACGGACGTGTAGAACAGCGGAGATCGCAGAGACTGTGGAGAGGAGAAGACCAAGAAAGACACCTTTGTCGTCTCTTTATTTCTTTCTCTTTCCTTCTCTCTCTCTCTCTCCCCCCCCCTTCTCCCTCCCTTCTTCTCGCTCTTATTATGTTATCTACTCGCTACCACATGCTATCGACAGCGCTTGCTTACGACGCAATGCGACGCGCGATATTTCAAATTCACAAATGTATAATACAAGATATCTATTAATATAATAATAATAATTACTAGAAACTTTTTTGGACCGTATAATTGATAAATAATAATAAACTAGAAGAAGAAAGCCATTTTACGGTCAAAGCTCTGGATCACAGTGCTTATTATAATTGTGTGAAATTTATATGCTGCGTATGTAGTCCCCCCATAAATCGCGACGCTGATAGTTTTTCAGCATTGATGCATACATACTTACTACCGCAGTAATATCACTTAGTTAAATTGACAAGCAATCTAACAATTTTTGATGCTTATAGCATCTTATGCGGTAGTAAGTATGTATGCGTCAATGCTGAAAAACTATCAGCGTCGCGATTTATGGGGGGATTACATACGCAGTATATAAATTTCACACAATTATAATAAGCACTGTGATCCAGCTTTGACAGTAAAATGGCTTTCTTCTTCTAGTTTAATAATAATAATGAATAAAAAGTCTCTAATTATAAGAGCCTTTTATCGGAGCTTATCGGAGATTCTTTTGCAAAATGTTCCCAATTACGTCCACACATAAATGAATCCTTATGAAGATTGCCAAAAGAGCCTCCTCGTCTCCTTTTCCCTCCCTCTTTCCTCTCATCCCTCTCTCTTTCTCTGTCAATCACTCTCGCTTCTTTTTTATCTTTTCATCCTTGTCTTTTGTTTAATTTCCCATATTATTATCAAATTATTATCAATTCTACACTAAATTATTGTGTTGCAAAACATCAATAATGAAATCTTATTGAGAATCAACAGTAAAATAATGACCTAAAATTACCTGTTAGTAAATATATGAGTCTCTGGATGGGGAGACGATAAAACCACTCTGTTGACGTCCGCGGACGTTCCCGTTTCTTCAGTTTCCAGATTGTACATTTCGGGTTGGGCCAGGGTCTCAGTCTCAGCAGGGGTGCGCATTCTCGTCTAAATGTCCGATTGTTGGTAGATCTGAAATAAAGTATCAATTCCATTATTCTTAATCGTTATCTTTATCTTTACCTTAATCGTTAACAAATTTGCATGAGTCATATTTTACAATAATAGTGCAAATAATGTAAAAAAAAATAGACTAAACGTAATGTTAGATAAAGAAAACATTATTAAATATAACATTATAGATGAGGAATACATAATATTAAATGAATAAGATAAAACTTTTTTTTACATTAAATAATTAACAATTATTTATAATAAATTTGAAGACAATTACACACTGAGAAAAATATTTAACATTTATTTAAATAGTATCAACTAAAATGTACTTAGAATAAATATTTACTTAATACGAAAAATAATAGTTAAATCAAATTAATGAATTTCTTATCAAATAAAAATGTCTATATTTAATCAATATATTTAGTCGGTATTATTCAAACAAATAATTTATTAAAATTTAATACATTTATTTCAGTATAATTTGATCAATGAAATTGAATTTACAAAAAAACGATCCTACATATTTGTATTAAAGATTATTCACAAGAAATAAATGATTATATTGCATTCTAGATTGACTCAGTCAGTCTAGAATAGTCGTTATAAAATACAATTAAATATAAAATTAGCCACTTTTAATGTTGAATTTTATTTTATTTTTATAAAATTTTTTTAATTTTTATGCATCTCTCTCATTATGTATGAAACGTATGATGATTAAAGATTTAATTTTATTCCGTGATAATATCATCAATTATTTCATCCAACTCTTGATATATTAAAAAGAATTTGCGCGTCATTCCCTGCGTTACCACCGTTGGAATGGATAAAAAGAGGAATAAGAAATCATCTTTGGTATATCTACTGTAGTATCTACTTTGTAGTATCTACTGTAGAGAGGCAGTCAGATTAAATGGAATGCCGATCTAGTAAAAGGTGTGGTATTTGCCGGTCCGCATACCAAACCGTAATATTCATTTATTTCATTTTATACGTAGATTTTTTAAGTCCCGGGTCCGTCCATGTATGTTATGCAAAACATTTTTCGCGGCTAGCAACTTTTGAAATAATAGAAAATTTTGTGAGTATAAACCGAAGAAAATATATAAATATAAGTATAATAAAAAAATAAAAAGTATACACAGTTTTACTATCAAATAAACAATAAAAACCCCGCACTAATTATACAGAAAATAGATCTCGATGAGTTAATTTTTATACGTATTATAATTTATAACGAGGTGAGAACAAAAACTATCATAAAATTCAATAATATATAATTTTAGAATAGTGATGTAACGAAAGTGCTCTGTGTAAACACAAATTTTACATTTTTAACACACCGATAAAAAGTTATTTATTATTAAGCTTGTACCTGTATGACATCTTTTATTCGCTACATTACGTTATAAGTTACATATATATGTAAAAACTAACTCATTTCACCGAGACAAAATTTTCCATATGATTAGTGCAGGATTGCTTATAAAATATTGTAGTTTTCTTCTAGTGGTATTCAAACAAATGATTCTAACATACCGTCTAACAGTTTATGTTTGAACATTCCAAAATATGAGAACGTTCGAGTTTCAAATTAGAAATCAATGATCGACTTTCATGTCCGAAGATTCAATAATTCATTAAATTTAGGAAACTTTTTATGAAGCTTTACATTAATTATTATTATTAATTTACATTAATAATTACAAATAAAGACTTATTCGTTTCCCGAATTGATTAAAATATCGATCTGTGTGTGAACAAATCTGTTTGAAGTTCTTGCAAAAAAATATTTATCGATAATAATGTGATAAACAGAAAAGCGAATTATATATGTATATGTACGTAATATTTGTTCCACGCATGCTTCACACACCCCTTGTACAAAAGACGGAAAAAGAAGAAACCAGGAACTCCTCCAGAATGACTCACGCCATAGGTGCGCCCGCAATTAATCCCGTGCACCTGGATCGAAGTCTTGCCAAGATCCAAGTTGCTTATACCTGACAACCCCTGGAAACACTGTTGACTCTAGCATGCACACGCGAATATTCGTTCAATATCATCCTCAATAAATAGAAAATTCGTTTATTCTTTCTAAATTACTCGGTTGTTACATTATTCGTTATTATTTTCGTCTTGTATTAAGTTTCATAAATATAAATAAGTTTTTTTTAACAAAAGCGTTAATAATAAATATTATACGTATGTATAATAAATATAATTTGTTTCATAGATGTTGGTAACCCTTCAAAATGTATTATAATATTATATTATAAAATATATTACTTGAATAGTGTAATATAACAATAAATATATATAAATAAAAATTTATAAACATACGTAATTTTTAATTTGTTCAAATGACATTAATTTACTAATTAAGACGCGGAGATACACAAAGATTTTAAATAAAAATATTAAATGAAAGTTTCATGAAATATTTAGAATAAAAGGGAATTTGTAAAGCTATGTGAAAAGTACTATTACTGTTCCAAGAAAATAAACAGCCCGGTTATATATATTTCAAAAATTTGCTAATTTTGTTCAAAAAAAAGTAAATTTTAATGTGAGGGGTGTACACCCTCCGTTCTAATTCTATGCACCCTGTATATACGTAAATTGCGACCTCGATCAGATATAACTCACATACAGCCATCTGACAGAAATAGCAGCGAATAATGGCATCGCATATGCATATGTTAGTTTACATATTCCATGTGACTTGTCTAAAATATTGTATATAATATGTATATTGTATAATACTTTTTAACAAAAGCAGAAAAAAATTAGAAATGTCTCAATTATTTTTCTTGTCTGTATAAATTTTATATAATATATTAATAATAATTACAAAGGAGGATATATCGGATTATTTATGGGTTGAGACGTTGAGAACACTTTAAATCAATTTAATTTTTTTAAATAGAAATACATGAATTGTCCTACACACTATATGTAGAATAATTATAAGAGTCATAGTGTATAAAAAATTCATATGCCATTAAAAAAAAATTAAGTTGACTTTAAAGTGTTCTCAACGCTTCCACTCATAAATTAGTTGTATTCATTATAATGCCCCCTCCCTCCCCCCTTTGTATTAAATACATTAGCATAAATATTTTTTCATATATCTTCAAATTTTACTAATAATTACATCGATCACTTTATATGATATCCTGTATACTATATACTGTCCTAAAAAGTTTCCAAACAAGGAACTTAAATTGCACAATATTTAGATCATAACTTGGTAAAAATGATCGCAGATAAAAAAATGAAACAATATTTTAAAGCTTGAAACTTGTACTTTAGTATGTTTTTTAAAAGTTTTTATCTTTACAGTTTTGTATCTTATAACAAAGATTACATTGTTGTGTTTCTTAAAATCACATACATTTAACAATTTGCAGCTTGAGATAAATTTTTGTCAAGTTTAATATTTTTACAAAATAGTACAGAGCTTTATCTACAAAGTGCTTTTTCAAAAATTTTCTTATAATTTTTCTTAATTAAATTACGTGACTCTGAAGCAAAACCTGTATAGTTTACAACTAATGTTGTATGTCATATGTTATACTTATTGCTAACTGATTATCAATATTTTGTATTATAAAAAAAATAATAGAAGAAACAATATTTTCAAAGAAATAGAAAGAATTTAAATTTCAAATTTCCTTAAATCCTGATAGAATTCTATGAATATCTCTGATTTTCTGATTTAAAAAATTCGAAAATTTCAAGTTAATTTTTAAGTTTTTTCTTTATAGGTTTTTCCCGGTATAATAAATCTTCTGAAAACACATACACACACACACACACACCAGATAAAAAGATATTAAACTTCTGTAAAACATATCTTGAAAGAAAAAATATCGTATGCGCCACAATTCAACTTTGAGATTTTCTCTCTCTGTCTCTCTCTATCTGTTCTATTTTGAGAATCACTGACTACCTGCTCCAAAAGATTAGAAGGATTTGAAGGAATAAACTAGAATGGGGGGGTCTAACAGGTGTGTTTAGCAAGGTACATACCTGCTTCTCGAAAGCTAACAGTAGGCATCAGAAATACAAACAGATGAAAAAAATTCGATCTTCATATAATTTTAAATATCATTTTAACAAATCTATACAATTTGAAAACTAAAAGAAAAGCTATTTAACGTGAAAAATTGGAAATTAGCACAACAAATGATTCTCGGATATTTTTGTTTAAAAAGATTCTACTCAAAGATGATCGAAGATCATTGTAAAACAAATATTCTTCGTTCTAGCGACACTCTTAGTATATACTTAATAATAAATGAAACAATATTCTTTATGAGGTTCCTTATAGGCATCTTCGAATATATTTCCTCTATTCTAATCTACTGTCTACTGCACAAATATTATTACTTTTATGGACAATATGACGTGAAAACAATTGGGAGGCACTGTGTTGTAGGGAGAAGCGCAAGCTCGCGCGTGTGAAACATTGCGTGTGCGAATTGACCTGCGTACACAAAGGTAAGCCTGCTCTCGAGGGTCGTCACTGCACGAAGAACGGTCCTTAGGGAAAAAATGACAAGGGTGGAGAAAATAAAAATCCATTCCGAACGTCGTTAAATAAGTGTAACGGTGTTGGCTGAGAACGCCATTCTCATGCGTCATTCGAACTGCTAGTAACCAGGGTTCTTGATCGATCAAGCAAGTTCTTATTTAGCTCTTTTACTACATTAATTACAGTCTATTTTCTTTTACGTGTAGAACCTGATCTTAATCAGAAGTTTCGCATAGCTTCGTTGAATGACTCTTAAACGTTGTTATATAGTGTGAAATGAATTTCAGAAAGCGTTTTCAGGAAACATTTTTAAAGAAATGTCTAAAAAAAAAACTTAGACATATTTTTCCTATAAAAATTTTTTGGCATATTTTAAATAAAATATAATTTGTATTTCTTCTCTTCGACATTTTTTATTATCTTTTCTAAAATATTATACTATACTACTTTTTTTCAGCTTTATAATTAATAAAGAATAAATTTAAAATAAATTAAAATTATATAAATATAAATTTATAAAATTAAATTAAGCTATTTAACAAAATTATATTTTTCTACAAGAAATAAACAACAATCATAACTTAATAATTAACACTACAAAGACAGTTTGAAACATTTCAGTTTTAAAAAATTAGAAACACATTAAAACTTTTTAGCTACTCCAATTTATGATATTAAAAAATATTACAGTATTTTTTTATTTCTAAAATTTCTATAATCTCAAATATGTATTGATTTCTAATGTTCCAATTAACAATATAAAACGAGCAAGGAAGTTAATTAAACAAAAAATGCTAAATATAGATGTTAATTATGCAAAGTCGGGCTATAAAACACCTTACTTATTCATGTACTTATAAATAGAAAGAAAATGGGAGTGAACTTTATAAAAATATACTCGAGCGTATTCGACGATTTTATCTGTTCGTCTCACGTATATTATCGATCGCGCCAAGCCACTCATGTATGAATGAAGTCGCCCCTTGGAGTCTCGTAAATAAACACATGAATTGCGCGGCCGGATCTTTAAAAGACAATTTACGCATGCTTCTGCCGTCGCGCATCCTCTGGCATTGAAATCACCTACCGATAATGGCCAGTGATTGCAACGCTGTTCACGATGACGCAGATAATCATCAATTAATGAACCGATTTACTTGTATCGTTATTAGTTACTTTCATTACTGAACTTCTCGCAGCTTTCTTTTTACTGCTATATTTACTAAATAATTATAGCTTATACAACACAGATTATTTCAGAAATATTGCAGCACTCTTGTAACATTCCAACAATATTGTGGCAATCTTGCAGCATTTCAGCAATATTATAGCAACGTTGCAAATATTGCTGCAAGCTGTATAGAAAAATTATATTTAAAAAATTGTCCGATAATTGTCATATATCTGGTAGATATTAATAGTATTTAAATGCACTATGTACGTGTATCGAATTCTTTTATTATTTCCAAATAAAATTTTAGATCTTAAGATCAATGTAAAAAAGCAATAATAACGAGATTTTTGTTATCAATGTTAACGCGAGTCTTCAAAATTGCAGTTGGATGATTTCTTCCAAGAGAAATATAATTCATCTGATTTAATATAGAAAACGATGTCTCAATCATTCTATTAAAATCAGTTTTGTAATGTTATTATACTATAAGAACGCTTTCTCTAAATTATGCTTTGATACACGCAATTGCATAAAACACTGTTTATACACATTTAACAATCACTCTATCTCGTGATCACCATTTTAATTGTTTTTGTCGAATAAACCAGTCTATAAAGATATTTTTTCCATTTATCAAAGCTCATCAATATATGAATATTACATTAGAATTAGAGATAATTTATTCTTATTTAATTTTATCGTTGCGTTTAATACTGTCAGTGCTCTGTTTTAGAATTTATACTGTTTTATAATTATACTTATATTAAACGCAATGACAAAATATTTCTTAATGTTTCCTTTAGTGCAAGATCAATTTTCTGTGGTCAAGTAAAATTGAGTTTTATTCTTCAATTTATCTTACGTTTAAGCTTCATTAAATGTCTTCATAATCCTCTTTATGATATAATCCTAGGAAGATTAAGAGGTTTCTACCAGGACAGGATATTCCGGTATGCGCAATAAAATCTTTTCCTACTGTCATTTACATAAATTAAACTGTTATTATAATTCCATCGGACTAACCGCGAGAGATGTATTAATATAGCGCATAATCTTTCAAGCATTTCATATTCGTTGCACCGTCACTTAAATAAATCGTTGGAACGGAATTATTCCCGCAATGGTGAAAGGGTTGATCGACGTATTAAGTGTATACTGAAACAAAGTATAGACGAGATCAGAGAAATAATTACGTAAAGCTACACAAATGTAGATTTAACTGTCAACCAACCTGTATATATTATATATATATATTTTATGATAAAATAAAATCTCTTCAACCCGTGTTACATTACGCATTGAAAGCTGAGATTGCGAATTAGAGATTAGAATTTGACTAGCCAGATAATTTTAATTTCAATTTGTTTCGTTCTAATTGGCTGAATTTTAATCTTTGAAAGGAAACAAGATTGGCTGAATCGAGAGAGATACAAATCAGGATAAAATTCGAATCCTTTTTATGTTGTAATCTTTTTGCGAAATCAGCCTTTTTGCAACAGACGCACTGAAAAGAAATTCACTAAATCTTAATAAATATATATATTTCTTTGAATCTTTCTTCTACTAAATACACAATTACTTACAGTAAATAAATAGTTACTCAATAAAAAAACATGATAGTTAAATTAAATTAATGATTTTGGTATCAATTAAATACATATATTAATAAATACTTATAAAATGTAAGGTAATCAAAAGGCTCAGTTGAATAGATCACAAAAACAAACAAGATGCCAATATGAGCCAACAGAAGTTCTTAGTGTGTACTTTTCATACAATTTATTAGAAATAAATAATAAAACGTATTCGTTTCGACCTACGGTTAAGGTCCTCTCTTCAGTACATGTTGAAATAATATAAAATTAATAATTAAAACTAAAAAATTACATATATGATGGTAGTGCATACAACTATACTTAATTCAAGTGCGAGATAAGAAATACTAAGGTAGTAATGTCCAAATTAAAGTCGAATCTTGTTCATCAAATTGTTAAATTTAATGATTGTCAAGATTAAACGATTTTTTGTATAGATGATGTACAGGTTCCATTAAACTGCGCAGTTTAATAAAATTTAAATGAAAATTATTAAACACGACATAACTGTTTGACGGACAGATGTAAAAACTAAATACTTATATTTAATAAATATTTTCTCAAAATTATTTAGACAAATATATTTATTAAAATTTAGTATTCTTTCAGTGCAGGAATACAAAAGCGATGGACATCTCTGTTGATTTTACATAATTCAAATTGCTCAAGGCACATGCGATTGCAATTTTCACGGAAACCTAATTTATTCGGTCTAATCTTTATACCTTTTTGTCGAGAATGACGCGTCCTTTTACATCGCAACGATAAGTCCGTTTTAATTGCACTCCAGTACAATTCTAGCGAATCGGTTGCACGCACTAGTGCGCATCAAAGGTCATCGCACACAAATTGACGTAAAAGCGTACATTTAGCATACAAACAGTTCGCAAACAGAACGCTGGAAAGTAAGTCGTCATATTATAATATTTGGCAGAATATTAACCGAGGCGCTTCCGCGTTACACTTATGCACTCTGACCTTTAACTCCTATATGAAGTAAACGTCACTCTTTAAAAAAACTAATGTTTACGACAGAAATTTCATATAAACTTCGTACTTTTGAAACGTAATCTGAAAAAAAAACGCGAGAAATCGATGCGACGCGCGAACAAACCGCAATACTAATAAAAATTTGTCAATCAACACGCGCAAGTCCAGTTCCGGATTTTCTTACGCATCTCCATTCTCCTCCTCGTCACCCCGGAAGAGTAAACATTACGTCTACGTCACCTCGGATGTGACAAACACGAAAAGTACTTGGATATCAATTTGATCCCTTTTTAATTTCTATCTGCGTCTAAATATAAATCAATCTATTTCTATAAGATTTCAAAGTAAACAGCGTTCATAATAACGTATGCACTTATAGTAAATAACAAACTAATTTGAGTCAAACTGAATACATTTTCTTGAGTTAAATTGTTTATTGGTTTAATCCTATTGTTTTGTTTTAACGACATATTTGAGTAGAAAGGTGGCATATTATCTATACATGTAATTAAAAATAACTCAAATTGTGTGGGTATATCTTATTTATTATAATATTTAACTGTGTAAATCAATCTCTGTGATGAGTAAACAACGTCCACATTAAATATAGCCGCTTAATAAATAGTAATAGAATGAATGTCTACATTGGATTATAATACACATTAAAGGTTACTCTAAAGTGTCCAAATGCAGGAGCATAATATACCTTTTGCAATGAAATAATACATGTGTATTCTATTAAATAACATGACAGTGTAAAATTAATGGGTATTTATGTTTACAATATTTATATACTTTATATTAACTTTATTAATTTCATGTATAACGACTTTTAGTATTTATTAATGTAATATCCCAAGGAGAACGAAGTGTCGAAATGTCAATTTAACGTGATATTGACTGAATTTATATCGTTTCTTCGTCTCGATTCAGTCAATATAACATCAATAGATATTATTTCGACTTTTTGTTCTCAGGATGTAATGCAAATGATCGAGAATTCGCATGAACTTTGAATCAATTTAATAAATTTTTTCAGTTGAATCGATAACTTTATTATATTTCAGTCAAATTAACGACATTTCAAGTATAGAAGCAATCGCAATCTACATCAGGAGTAATTAAAAATAGCTCAAATTGAGTATAATTTCGCGCAAAGTGTAACTTGAACACGGGTGCAACCAGAAAACCGACGGTCCTTCACGGCGATCGCCTTGATCGCAGCCGAGCTTTCACTTTTCGCGATTTGCACAAGCGCGAGCGACCGAGCGAGTCCGTCCTCGCCGTCACTCGCCATACGGACGATACGAAAGCTTTCCTCGCGGGAGACGGGGGATGAGCGCGCGGGGCTCGTCTCTTTCTATATACGCGGCGGAGGAAACGGGAAGAGAGAGAGAGAAGAGACGCGCGCGTTTTATCGATCAGAGAGCGGCGCGGGCGGCGCGGCCGCGCTTGCTACCCTCTCGGCTACTCACCTGAACGGACGCTCTCCGTCGTCGCGACAACGGGAACGCTTCCTGCTGCTATTCGCAACGGAACGTCCGTCGCGGCGATCGTCTCCATTCACGCTCCCTGGCCGTCGCACCTTTGTCTCTCTCTCTTTTTCTCAGTTTTTTTTTTTTCCCTTCCTTCTCCCGAGAGCGGTTGTCACGACGCTACGTCCACCGTTGTAGCGGCTCGCCGCGAGCACGATTCGGGACTCGGTTCTTCCTCGCCGCGCGGCAAGTCTTCGTCGTCGCCACAGACGCGCAATACATATTAACACCAGGTCTCTCGAGGGAGTCCGGACACGCTCGCTCTCGCTTAGCACGCGCGCGATAGCGCGCGCGTGTGTTATCGCGCCGCTCTGCCTCGATTTACTCCACTCGCGCAGCGTACAACCCCGCGACGGCGACACCCCAACGCGCGACGCGTTCGACGGACACTGGACAAAATGGCGCGCGTCATTGTCCCGCAACTCCGACGCTAGAGCGCGCCCGATCGACGGGAGACGAAAGGAGTAACGACTAACGAGGAGATATCGGTGTGAGTTCGAGCGAGAGTCAGCGAGAGTGGAGGGGCCAGCTGGCGACGTCACACTGCGACGCGTGAAGGTGTATAGTAGAGAACCACGGAGAACGACAACGATGTGTATACGAAATTACGAACACGAACAGGTTCCCGTCTGCCGAAACCACGCCTTCCAGCCTTCTCGGTATTCAAGCCGCGTCGATATACCAATACCGGCTTACTTCTCTCGCAACCTAGCCCGGAAGCGAGATGTTTTTCAAATATTTCGCATCGAAAATAATACCGTTTTCCTCACCTTCCCAGAGCGATCCTGCAGGTAAACCAGTATCCCATGTATGTATCCGTATGTATATCTATCTTTGCGCATTCACCTTACATCCAGAGAAAGGTTTCTTCGATTCGAAGAAATGTTTCTTTGCTTCGCGGTCAAAGAAAAAATTTCTTCGATTTTAACCGTCATTTTTTTTTATACTTGAACATAATTTTATGAAATCAGATAAAAGAATTTATCATTTTTTTTTTAATCAAATAAATTTTTTTTATTTCAAAAAATTATGTTCAAATATTAAGAAAATATTCAAATCAAGGAGATTGTTTTCTTTACCCGTATAACAAAGAAACATTTCTTTGAATCAAAAAACCTCTCTCTGTACAGAGAACTTACAAGAAATCGAATCCGAAGTTAAACTGTAATCACTATGTGGGAAATATGAATGAAACGTGAAAACAATTTAGTATCTATTAATTGTTCTTTTAATTGAAACGTTATTCTTTGAAAGATTTATAAAAACATCGAAATGCAATAATAAATTTATTATAGAAACAAAATGTTCCTTGCGCGAATCTTATAAGAATTAAAAATCAAGTCATAACATATCTACTATATAAAAGCAACGATTACATCAAAGTTTGATTTTTATACGAATATATCTATACATGTGCCAGTTGGCCCCTCCACTCGCCGGCCGATATCTCCACCCGTCTATACAAAGAAAGACATTATTAATACAACAACAATCTAATCGAAAATAATTTTAACCTTTCGCCGGCGGACGCATGATCTCGTTGGACCCGCAAGTTATTTATTTTTTTCAACTACGACACGTAAGTCAAGTATGCTTTTCCCTTTCCTATTTTATATTTGTTGCGCTTGATGTTTCGGAGCAATTCAGCGAAATTTAGTGTAAAATTGTTATTACGAAAGATAAGTTCCTGCATTTTGCAATAATTTTCTATGTATTCTAGTTTAAAATAGCAATAAATGCAATCATTGTTCATAATTTTTGTATGTAATAATCAATAGTTTACTACATATTATAATTAAAAAAACTGCTTTCCAAACATTTTAAAACAATTTCACTCTTGGGTCACTTTTGATCCTGCGTTCGCCGTGCGTGCATCACGACGTCTGCTATCCGAGGGTTACTTCAATAAGATTAATGAAATAAAAAAATAACTCTAAACTTGGTATGGAATCTCACTTTAAAGAGTGAAAATTGAACCAGTCTCTTGATAAAGAATGGGGCTCAATTTTCTTTAATCTTTAAGAGTGAAATTTCACTCACTTTCAGAGTGAGATTCATTCTAAAAAGTTTTAAAGATAAGTCACTTATGTGTTTTTATTAAAATACACAAGAGACATGACGTATGTTTCATTATTATGATTAAATCGAAAGGATTAATTTTAATTAAACTGCATTGCTATATCGTGCTTTTTCGTGAACGCGCATGAATATATTTTCGATTATATTCGATTAATTGGATTATACATATATATTAGTGACTGAGAATTAGAAAGTTTATTTTATTCGAAATTATTAAGGAAAATTTAATTTTTATTCCTTGATTTTACTGCGATAATATAAAGAGAATACAGTCTCAATTTTGTGAGAGAATTTTGCCAGATTATACGAATATAATTTATATGTCCGTTCTAAGCAAGACAAAAACGTGAATATTTTTATACAAGATTGAATCCTAGCTCATGCGCTACCGAGATTCCATCGCATCATTCCTTGGATCGTTTCCGAGTGCGGAGGAGGGTAACGGTGGGGTGACAAGCAAGAATTCGTAGAAACGTTTTTCTCGTTTCTAGGAAACGGGGTAGTCGAGCTTCTCTTTCTGCATCTATATCGAAAGGCGCGCGCACGTTGCGCAGAAGATATCTGATACATCTTTTATAAGTGTGTTTGTATGTGTAATACACACACACACACACACACACACACACACACACACACACACACACACACACACAAATATAAGATGAATATTTATTGTAACACAATAGAGACGCAAGTACGCGTTCTGAAACACTATTAAATATATAAAAGGAACAATAATACAATCGCTTCAGTTAAATAACGTTTTGTTATTTTAACATTCTTTTATACGTCAAAATATAAATCAATTCTGAGATTTAGTTTCAAAGTAAACATCGTCCACATTCATATGTATACATTTAGCAAATAATCAATTAAATTTTAATCAAATACATTTTCTTGAGTTTAATTGTTTAGTCAAATTAATAATATTAGATAAGTACACACAATGGCGATCTAAAAAAATTATTAAAAATAACTCAGATATAATTTGACATTATAAGTTTAACAGTGACGTACTGTGTACGTCGTAATGTATGACGTAGAGTGTAATGTAGAAATGTGACACATATATTATGACGAGATACACATCGTGCGCGACAATGTCGCATATCTGCAGGCATAACAAGCTTCTCATCTCGCTTTTCTTCAGTAATCAATCTTTTGTTCCGTGTATCGACGCCCGCCCTCCCACTTATAATAGGTACACAAATTAGTTCGGTCCGTTTTTTGTATTCAAAAATACATTTATTTCAAAACAAAATGAATTAACAGATTAATTAAAGCATTGTCCATCGCTGGCTACTACTTTTTCCCATCTCTCAGGCAATTTTCGAATTCCATCTCGAAAAAATGACTCGTCTTTGGAGGCGATCATCTGTTGGAAAACGAACCGAACTAATTTGTACTCCCAATACTTCTTTTTGTATACTGTTTCCTTCTACTCGAAAGTTTCTTTCATCATCGTGTCCGCAGCCGCAACCTGGTCGATTCCCAAATGACGTCATAACCACTCGCCCATCCCTCTTCATCTCGTAGTAACCGTGACCGTGACATTCAAGGTCTCACGTAAGCGCCCACGCGCTATTTCGAAAAAGCGTAGGAGAGACGAAAGAGAAAGAATTCGGAAATAAATTTGTATTTAAGAAAAATATCAAGGACTAGATTAAAAAACCTGTGGTTTTGGAATAATGAATTTCCGCATATTTTCGAGCTGATATGAATAACTATATAATTAGGTATAATTTGTTAATATTAAAATTTATACATAAACCTATTAAGATGTTTAATATAATTTTATTGAAATATAATCTCTATTTTTTTAAATATATACATATATACACAATAAACTTTCCATAATAAATGCACGATACTGCATCACATTTTCAAATAATTATAAAGAATTTTAAAATTTATTTAGTGTGTATTTTATAAAATTACAATAAGTTTTTTTATAAAGATGTTTTATAAATATGAGATTAGTTTTGGATTGATTTTTTCTGCTTAAGTACATAGTAAATTATCACAAATAAAAAAATATATTTTTCGAATACAAAATTATAAGGCCAATATTCAGTCGCTTTTTATTTTAAGACTGTCTTAAGATATTATATCAGAAAAAACTGTATTAGCATTTTAAAACATTTAAGATGGTTTTCAAGAATAGCCTAATACCAGCCTAAGAAAATTCAGTTTCCATTGTGGCTCTTTTAAGGTTTTTATATTCCTGCACTACGTTTTCTACTTTTGCAAAAGCTTGCAAGAAATCATCTTCTTCCAAACCAAATTGTTTATATTGATGCAAGAAAGCTGCACATTTGTAAGAGTCCCATGCTTTGTCTAGATATATATCCAATGGGCGATGTATCTCGGAATTATTGCTAACCAATGCCAAAAATTTATCTCGATTCAGAAACCTATGTTCTTGATGCAAATGTGTAAAGGAATTTAGAGTAATCCACTCTGGATAAAGATACTTGTTTTGCAAATCTTCCAATGCAATAATATCATTTTCTATAGATTTGCCACGTGTTACAAGAACATTAGACACACAAGGACTATATATGTGAGACATTATTGTTTTGCTCAGCGTAGGATTTGGTATCTTTAGTTGGGCATTAGTTAATTCTGCTTGCAACTTTGATACTCGAAGAGTCTGCTTTAAATGACGTATGTATACTTCCCATTTGTGTATAGGTTCGTACTGTAGAGATGTTGCAGGAGTATGTGGAGTACTCTTAACTGTCACAAATCTAAAATTAGGATGAGTAGCTATTTTGGATATTAAAAAATTTGTGTTACATCTTGCATTATTGGTAGGTTGAAAAACAGAAAGTAAATTCTCAGAAATGATGCTATTCATGTCATGCAATGTGGTATTAGAATTCTTCAATAGATTGGTACTCATAGAATACATCTGTTCATTCTCGAATAACACAGAAAGATCTACTTTATCTGCGAATTTGGCTAGAGTCAATATAGTATTATAATTTTGAGTGCAAACTTCTCCAAAGGTAAACGGTAGAACAATTGATGCAATGATAGGCTCAGTTTCATACTCCTCTCGTAGAAGCTCAACCATATGACTTCCTATACCGGATCCTGTACCACCAGCTGAACTAAGAAGCAGAAGAAATCCTTGAGATCGATCTAATTTCTCAATTTCCTGTCGCGTAACATTCAATACAGTATTTGACAAGCGTCGACTATTGATCATATAGCCATAAGCCCAGTTGTTGGCAGAACCACCACTAGATTGACAAACGACATTACTCGTTCGATACAGCCACGACGCGTTAACATTCTTGCATACCTTGTTGACGACCTTCTCTTCGGTATCGACGAGAATCGCCTTTGCAAAGTGTCGACCGCACTTTGCGATTCCGTCGAACCATTTCTCGATCGTATTTTCAGTATACTCGTAATTCGCACCGTAAGAAACGCCGGTACTCGAACTTCCTATATCAGAGGACACTTTCGAGAACAGATCACATCCGAGTTGATTCCCGCATTGTCCAAACTGCAAAGTGAGCATTTCCGCGGGTCTATTCACCTGCGATGTAAACAAATTGGTGTTGTCATCAACACATGTTCTTCCGTTGTTTATTAAATGTATTCCTGACACTACTTTAGCTCAGTTTCAAATGATTTAATAATAAAAAATAATTAGAATATTACAGTTCGTACACGAAAGAAATATTGATGTTTGACAAGTAATAATTTCCAAATTTACACGTTATTGACGTTGTCGCTTTCCGCCAATGTAAAATATGTAAACACCATAGAGTAGAAAGGAGAAGATCAAACACGAGGATCGATCGGGACGATACGACTTTAGTGCCATTGCGAGAAAAGTTAAAAGTTAGTCTAGTTAGGGCTGCGCACACAATGGAGGAACAGATATTAGATATTAAAATATTAACCTATCAGAATCGTGTATTCCGGTGTAACTAGTATCTGATAGATTAATATTTTAATATCTAATATCTGTTCCTCCATTGTACGCAGCCTTAGGGCTACGCACAATAGAAGAAGGGTCTGCGCACAATGGAGAAACAGATATTAGATATTAAAATATTAACCTATCAGAATTGTGTAGTCCGGTGTAACTGGTATCTGATAGGTTAATATTTTAATATCTAATATCTGTTCCTCCATTGTGCGCAGACCCGAAATATTAGAAACAGATATTAAATATAAGAATTTTAACCTATCAGAAAGCGCACATTCCACAGTACTGATAGGTTAAAATTCTTATATTTAATATCTGTTCCTAATATTTCTCCTATTGTGCGCAGCCTTAGGGTCTACGCACAATAGGAAAAATATTAGGAACAGATATTAAATATAATAATTTTAACCTGTTAGAAAGCGCACATTCCACAGTACACAGTTCTGATAGGTTAAAATTCTTACATTTAATATCTGTTCCTAATATTTCTCCTATTGTGCGCAGACCCTTAAGCCTTAAACACAATGCGAGGGAATAGCGATAGCGATAAGTTTCAACTTATCAGAAATCGAATACACCGGAATACGCATTTTTGATAGGTTAAAACTTATCGCTATCGCTATTCCCTCGCATTAGGTGCATCCAGAAGCATGACCGCTTACTAAGCGCTCAATGAGCTTTTTTATCTGATTGGCATATTCCATTAGGTCTAAAATAAAACCAAACAGGTATACAAGAGCTCAATGAGCGATCGTGCTTCTGGATGCACCCATTGTGTTTGGTGCGTCCATTGCTTGGTAAATCATCCATTTGCTTGGTAAAATGGTCTCGACCACGAACCAGAGAGAAACCTGAGAGCGGCCATGTGAATGCTTCTAACTCCCCGTACACTAGCGGCACCAACGTCCATTTTCGAGCTGCGGGAACTACGTACCATGTTCATTTTCGTGCCCCGCCGTCTCGCCGATAAAATCGTATCGTTGAAAGGTCGAAAACTCTCCAAAAAACAGTTATACAAAAAAACATTGTAACACACCCAAGTGATTATTTTACACTATTACGAAAAATATAGTAAACATAGGGTGGACAAACGTGGACAAACAGTGGACAAACGAATGAAATAATGATTTTACCAATATTCGAATTTAGAGATTTCAATTTCACAGAGCTGCTTTGTGAAGTTGGCACCTTAAATGCGAATATTGGTAAAATCATTATTGCATTCGTTTGTCCACTGTTTGTCCACGTTTGTCCACCCATTATTTTCGTCTGTCCACCATACACAAAGAAGTTATGCACAAAAAAAATTGTAACACCCCCAAGTGATTATTTTACACTATTACGTAAAATATACTAAACATAGGGTGGACAAACGAAAATAAGGGGTGGACAAACGTGGACAAGCAGTGGACAAACGAATGCAATTATGATTTTACCAATATTCGCATTTAGAGATTCCAACTTCACAGAGCTGCTTTGTGAAGTTGGCACCTTAAATGCGAATATTGGTAAAATCATTATTGCATTCGTTTCTCCACTGTTTGTCCACGTTTGTCCACCCGTTATTTTCATTTGTCCACTTTCCAAAAAACAGTTATACAGAAATAAATTGTAACACCCCCAAGTGGTTATTTTACACTATTACGAAAAATATAATAAACATACAGTGTATGTAGGATGGACAAACGAAAATAATGGGTGGACAAACGTGGACAAACTAATTATTATACAAAGTTCATCTTAATTATGGCGTTTCGTCCCAGCTTCCACTACTGGACTCATCAGTAAGGATAGTCAAAGAGTAAGGCATTGTAATGGAAGCCTACCTTAGACGCTTAGGATAGTTATTCAATCGAGATTCTATATAAAGGAATATACGCGTTTAAAAAAAAAATTATTTTAAAAAAAGATCGAATTTATTGGCTCATTGTCCTGTTTCTCTATATTAGTTTTTAAAAACTTATTGAGCCTTATTACAAACAATTTACAAAGTTCTATGACGTAAGATAAAAATTACACGAAATTGCCGTTTACAGCAGTCGAAAGAGTGAATCTTTACCTTACGCCATAGAACTTTGTGAAGTTTGTGAAAAATTTGACGAATATCCATTTATGTTCGTATAACTCCGTAAAGTATCAGTCATATTGAAATTTCGATTATAGATTTTGAAAGTAGAAATTTCAACTTTTAAAATGCTTTTTTATGTAAATTTTTTGTCTGCGATAATTTTAAATCGAGTTACAGTGTTCTAAATATTGCTCAATTTTTAGCGTGTTCGAAAATGTTCCTTAGATTTTGTTGAGTAGTATATATCTGTACAAATATTTACATATTAAATAAGAGTTCCCGAAACAGATTACTATTTACACTCTTCTTCGCTTATTATCATTAGTTCCAATCAATCTTTTTGTTGGATATATGTAGAACTGTTGTTTTTATTCCTGTACTGCCTGAACTAGTGCACACGATGCAATAAGTTAAAATGGAATAAATGTTTGATATTTATTTCGTTTCAACTTATTGTATTATGTGCATTAGTTCAAACAGCAAGAATAAAAAACAGAACTATCAAGTGAGGATTAGAATCAGAGCACAATCACGAATCAATCATTAATTGTCTCATGTACCATCCTAGGCATACATGGATTGAGGATCGAACATAAAATAACTACGAATCAATCACTATCACACAAGCTGCACATCATCTGAAATGTTCAGATTTGTTTTTGTTTTATTCAAAAACTATATATATGGTTAATAATTACATGTATAAATAAAAAATTATTTAAAGCTATATTCATGAAGAAGTCCACCATAATCTCACGCTATTATCCCTATTCTTGCTTTCAATTTGTTTCTCATATTGTCTCTGTCCAGAACTGGTTGCTATTATAGGTAAATTTTTATGTAAGCTTACTCCGTTTATGCAGTCTTTGGATAATCTTATTTTATATTTTGGATTCAAATTCTCTTCATCGTAATTTGTAATTTCTGGTAATTCCCATACAATGATATTTCCATCAACACTACCTATGGAATATATAACATTAATAATGAGATATATTACATTATACTATATATTTATCATTTTATATTTTTTAAACTGACCAGAGATTATTTGTTTACTATCAGGTGTAATAGCAAACTGTATTCTTTGATTAGTGTCTGATTGCCTTCCTTCAAGAGAATAAAGAATATTTCCAGGATTACGGAGATCCCAACATAGAAATTCACTATTTTTCCGAACAACGGAGTATAACTTCATTCCGCAAGAACTAAATTCAATTTGTGTTACACCACTTTCAGTTTTAAAAGTGCATAATGGCCCGTCTTTATACAAACCTTCATATATATATGTATAAAAAATTACAACTTTTTTAACAAACATACAAGATCAAAAATTCTATATATTTAAATAAATCTTATCACAGATACATACCGATACATTTAGAATATGTACCAAAGGCAACTAAGCCTGGCATGATTGGATTTTCACGGATACATGAAACCAATCCAATCATATTTGGAAACTCATGTTTAAAGTAAATATCGCTTATTTGACGTCCAGGATGATCCGTATCAAAAGTTCTCACAATGTTCTTGAAGCCACACCATATTTGCTTCCCTGAATCTACAAATTGAACACTAATAGATGCTTCTACTTCATCAACTCTAAAAAAAGATATACCTTTTTAAAATTTTTTTAAATATTCTTGTCAAGTTGTATTGAAAACTCAAGTAAGTAAATGTTACTATTACTAACTGATTATAAGCTCGATATGTTGCACGTAATTCTCCTGTAAATGCATCCCACAAATGAATAGGGCTCTCTCTACTGGTACTAAGAAAACAACATGTTGTAGGTTCCCATGAATTCATAAAGGGATACCAGCATGTGTCATATATGAGGCCACCTTCTTTAATAGTCAAAGCAGATGTAAAATTGGTCTGTACAAAGTCAGATGGAATTTGACCAGAGTACAATTCTCTAGGAAGCTCATAAAGACGTATCCTAAAGTCTTCCGATGGTACAAGCAAGCATGTTCCATCTGGGGACCATTGACAACCTTTTGTAAAATTCTCAGTAGACTCGTATTCCTTAGTTGCTACACATAACATCTTCGGTACTTTTGACCAGATATAATTATAAATGCAAGGAGACTCTGCTGTATCAGCATCTTCTAAATTTAAATTTTTTAGGATATTTACAGCTTCATTGCTTGGCTCTATGACATTTACAGCTTCATTGCTTGACTCTGTAATATTTACAGCTTCATTGCTTGGCTCTGTAAAATTTACAGCTTCATTGCTTGGCTCGGTGACATTTACAGCTTCATTGTTTGTTTGTTCCATTATTGCAAGATTTGCAATTGATTTTGGTAATATATCACACATTACCTATAATTTAAATAATCATTATTATTATGTAATTTGTTTAGTTGCTAAAGTGATCCAAATTGAGAATATTACAAATCGATATAAAGTTCTAAATTTACTAAACAAAATAAAAATTCCTTTTACAGAATTAAAGTAGATGCAAAATTGAGAAGTGCTGCAATAGACTACTAAAAATACTAAAAAACTAATTTAAAACATTTAAAAACTTACATTCTATCAACTTGTATATTTGTCACCTAATGATTTCTTTAATAGTACATGTTTCCTTGATACAAAAGTTTTATAGTTTGTATGGACAAAACAACAATTTAACATCTAGCATTTTAACACCGACATGGACAAACAATACTGATTTTACGAAACTATGATTAAAAGCTTAAAAAGAAAGATGTATATTAATCACCTCCATTGTTCACTTAGTTAACTATACAAAAACACAGATCTTTTCTCGAAAATTTCCGTTTACACATAACTGTTTATACAAGGATTTCAGCACGTGTATGTACAAGTACTTCGTTTATTAAACCATCAAAATGTCTCTCGTATAACGATAGCTTGCAAATAATCTATATAAATTCATGAGAATTTATCAGGTTATGCAAAAGAGCAAGAAGAAAATGAGAAAACAGATTTTAAATTTCTTTGACGGCTAGTCCTATATCATTAATTTAGGTTAGGATAAATCACGTTTGCATTTTAGTTACAAAATAATACGTTTGGCGCGTTGCGTTCGTTCGTTCATTGTGTAGTATCCCTAAAATATCGAGTCTGAAACAATCGTTAGACTATCTTTTCATTGGTTCATATACATAAATCCTTAAAATGGCAGTACCAATCAAAGTGTAGCATATATTCAAAGAATATACATAGATTAACATCAGAAATATAATGAAACGTATTTTAAATATAAATCTTTTTACGTTAATACATTTTACGAGTAATACCCGTACCAATATAGTTTAATTTTAATTTCAATTCCAATTCTTCATTTTTTTCTAAAAATTAGAAAAAGATGAAGAATATGAGTTAAACCACATTAAACCACACTTATCACCCGAGTACCTCGTCTTATCCTTGTTTAACATTGAATGAACAACAAGGATAAGATGATACTCGGGAAAACCTGAGTGATATTTTCGAACGTAGCCATGGAAGTGTTCGGAATGGATTCCGATCGGAATTATTTACCCAATATCCAAAAAATCAAAATTTTTGATTCAGTAATAATTATATGAATCCATTTGTATCTATTTTAATTTCTTGAGAATTGAAATACTAGATAGAAATGGATTCATGTAGTCATTGCCGAATTCGGATACTGGGTAATAATTCCAGTTAATACCTCTCTTTCGGTTTCCTTTTTGTTTTTTTGCCATTGTGTTGCGGTACCTCGTCGAAGAAACGTCTTTTAAAATATTCTGTTAATTCTTTGCAAATTGCTCCATTCGAATCTCATAATATTTCTTCATTTAACAAGGTATTATATTATTATTTTTATTATCTGTTTTTTGCGACGACAGTTTAACTTTATTATAATTTTATTTTATACTTCGATACGTTTTATATAATATTTGGTAATTGTCGCACCGTCTTAATCATTGTGACATTTTTGACTACTCAACTAATTTTAAATAATGGACAACCTTAAATTGACTTTGATGTTTATGATAATTGACTACAATTTTGCAATCATCCTAACGAATAACACAATTTTTAAGACTTTTCGAATCATTTGTAAAAACTAAATATTTTAATTTCTGTTAAATTTTCTTTAAGAATTTGTTAACATTGAGATAATGACCCGATCGGTGTCGAAACGTTTGTTATGTTATGTGTTTATTTTTCATTAATTTATATATATCTTCTTTGTTCTTTTTAACTGTAATATTTTTATTTCGGCTCATTGTCCGTGAAATTATATTAATTTTTAATTATTATTGTCAAGTCTTCTCTTAATGTTATTATTAATTATTCCTTAGATTCCTATTATGTTGTTTAGGAAAAAAGGAATAATTCTGATCAGAATCCATTCCGAACATTTCCATAATAAAGTGCCCAAAGGTAAAGTAAAATAAATACATTAGTAGAAACTGACATAATTTGTTTAGATCACATGCGCGAAATTATTGTATTTATTAAAAAATATAAATTAGACAATATATGAATTAGGCTATTTAAATGAATTAGACTGAAGAACAGATTTGAATGCGCTTATCGGAGATAAATGTTATAAGAACAGTGTTTTCCGTTATCTAGATAAAATTATCTAGGTAATCATATTTAGAGAAAGAAATGTCTTTATTAATCTAGACAAAGAAATGTCTTTATCTTATCTTAATCTAGATAAAAATAAGATAAAGATATTTCTTCATCTAGATGATTATGTAGATAATTTTTTATGAACATATTATTTCTATCAGAACATATTATTCCTACACTTACAGATAAGAGAATTAAAAATATCATGAAATTTAATGTATTTTTAAGTTATACAAATATATTTTATTTAATTTCATGATATTACATTAAATTAATGTATTTGTAATTGAAAAGTGTATTTACGTAATAAGTGTTTATGTACATAAAATTTAATATAGTACTTTACATAAAATTTTGTGAAAGTTAATATATTTTTCACAAAATTTCATATAGATTTACATGAAATTTAAGTAATTACAAGAAATTAAGTATAAGTGTTAATTTTCAATTAAACCATTTATTACTTTTTAGTTACTTTATAATTATAAGCTTCCGTTTTACATACAATGTTACTTAAATTCATTACGAAATTTCTAAAAGTGTATATATTTTACATAAATATATGCAATTTCGATTCTTCAATAATTTTTTGTTATTAAAATATCTTGAATTTTATTATCACTCGAATCATTGCGATTGTCTATATGATGGCTGTAAAGTACACCACGGATATATCGAAATATTCGAAATACAATAGAATTCTATTCTGAATCGTCATAATAGATTGTCTTAAACAAGAACATAAATTTCTTTTTTTTTTTTTTCAAAATCGCCATAATCGTTATACGACCGTTGCAATACGGAAAATCGGTCAGCGATTGATACAGTAGCGCGACGACGCTTATCGCAGACGACGTCGCGACGCACGTTGGCTAAGATCAGCGGGCAGCACCGCGCCGTGGGTGGGAGTCTCTTCGGCCCTCGAGTGAGCGAAGACTACCCAAAAGAGTCGTGCTCCACTCAGTCTATCCGCGGGCGTCCGTCAAGCAGACTTCTCCGGCTCTCTTTCTCCCTCCCTTCCTCCTTACCCTTCCTCGTCGTCGGTCTCTCGAGGGCCTCGTGGAAGACACATGTCGTCGGCTGGTGGTGCAGCTGCTACCGGCTAACTCGCGTAACCGTACGCAGTTAACGTTAATTCAAGACGTTCTCCTAGTTCGATACCACGTCGTGTCGCGTTGTTGCCCTCGCTCTTTGCTTATTATTACTAATTCTTTTCGTGCCCTCGTCTTTCGCGCGATCGGTTCTCATATATGAAAGTGACTCGACACAGTGACAGAGTGCTCGTAGTGCGGCCAGTGACACGCCAGACCAGAGGACAGGATGTCGTCGACGAGGCTTCTCTGGGCGAGTCTCCTCGTCGGGCTCGCGATCGTCGGTTCGCCAACCTGGCACGTCGCCGACGGCTTCAACGTCGAGACGAAACATTATGCGGTGTATCGTATGGAGGAGAGATCTATGTTTGGGTTTGCTGTGTCGACGTATCGTGACAGATACGCCCGCGGATGGTGAGGCTCTTTTTTTTCTTCATCGTGATGAAGATCTCTGAGAAACGAGTGCTTTCCAGCAAGAGAAACACAGTGTAACGCAGTGATTATTTTATCTTTGTTTAACGTTGGTAAACAAGAAGGATAATAATTCATTGTGTTACACTGTGTCATCTATGTCTCTTGCCGGAAAGCACTTAAGATGAAATAATAATTCAAAATCGGCGAAATGAAACGATATAACACGCGTTGTCTAATATTAAATCAATTAAACCATTTTGATTTGTCGTCATTAAATGTACGATATCGTGACAAGAAAAATCTGAAAATATAAATAATAATCAAAATTAAAATCCTGATCGTAAAAGAGGGTACCGTCGAATGTCAATGCGTCACGGAGTAAATCTTAATAACTTATTCGTCACTTTGGAAGAGGCGTAGCATAATTCGATGACACACGGAATATATCTTAGAAAATGGAGCACTGTGTTGTATTGTCATATCTATGCACTTATATACTCTCTATACTACATATATAAATACTCATATCACTAAATAATCACTAAGTAATCATATCTTAGAATACCCCTCCTCCTCTCCATTAAAATTTGAATATTAAATACGAAAACGCTCTCTCTCTCTGTATATATACATATATATATTGTATATATATATGTATATAAATATAATGTATAATGTATTAAAACTATGCAAGACGTGAAGCAATGCGGAGAGACTGATGTTATAACGCAATTGGAAAGTGAATTCAGTTATAATTATTATAGTTTAATTTTTTATATATTTTTGAGAGTCATAAAATTTTTACATAAGTAAATACTGTATAAATGGAACTGATGCAATACAATTAGACGGATGTTTTCCTTAATAGGTAAATGTTCAACTTGTCAGGTGTTTGACTCATCGCTTGGTTACACATACGATTGACTCACTCGCGAAATAGGAAATATTAGACGTTTTAAAGTATCATGTGGTTCTCTCATCTCAAATTTTACCTGCATCATCACGTTGATAAAAGTCATTTACGGTAGTATTTTATCGTTTCCAAAAACGTATACTTCTCGCAAATAAACATCATAAAACTAATCGTCTGAGCAGTGTGTTATTATTTCGACGATTTCTTTCAGTGTTGTCCAGATATTAAAAATTTGGGTTTTACATACGCACTGTTATACACGGCACTGAAAACGTATGTTTGTATTTGGATAACAATAAAACTACCAGTGGCGTAATGCACAACATTTGTAACATCTGAATAATTTGAAGAATAATTTGATCGATATGATACTGCACTGTCGTTATAATTAGTTTTGTAACTAAACATTTCTTGCGAAAAGTGTAGATGTTTTTTTGGGAAAGTTAAAATATTATGATTTTATCAACATGATATAAATGATTCAAGATGAGTCGCTCGGTAATTAAAAACGTTGAATATTTCCTATTAGTTTCGTGACTACATATATTTATTTACGAATAAAAAATATTAAAATTTGTTTTCACGTTACTTTCACGACTTTAAGAGAGTTTTACGATAGCAGCGTTTCAGTGTTGCTCTTGCATTCCTTGTTACAAAATAAATGTCGTTAGTCGTTGCAAGTCAGAACGGCGGTCTGATCTTCCGTTCGAAATATCATCCGGTGAGATGAGGATTTCCATCTCGTGTTACATCTTGGGTTTTAATAACCAACGATAATCCTCCGTCCATCATCGATAAGTACTCTCCGGGGACGTTTGCAGGGACGGTTACAACCC